CTCCAAATCAACCTCCTTTTGCAAGGACTATTTTAGTAAAGGGATTATAAAATACAAAAGGGAGAGAGATAGGTAACCTGAGATGCAATTTTGGAATGCAAACTTTTAGCTCAAATGTGCATGCTCGAACTTAACAAATGTTTAAAATATTTGAGTTTTTCAAATGGTGCCAAAATAAACCATGTCTTTTCTAAAGACTACATATTTAGCTAGGCACTGGCAATGTAAATCTTTCAACCATTTCAAGTATTTGTTTAAAAGCCTCCCAGAACACGTGTGCCTCCAACAAAACTGAAGAATGAAATGTTTAGACCACTGAAGCTCAACAGCTGACTTATAATCAACCTAATATGAGAACACCACTTTGGCTTTTTGGACTTGTGAATACATTTTATTTACCAATGCATGAGAAGAACAAACAGAGAAAGTCCAGTCCTGCAGACCTGATGTGAAATGGTACAGTGATAACAGTCAGCACATGTAACGCTGCAATCACAGCAAGCACAATGCAGAGAAACTGCCAGTCAGAGATTTCATGTGCCTCGCAGTTTATTCCTGCATGGGAGGAAAATCTTTTGGGGCGCAAATTAAAAAGAAAAAAAAAAAGCAACAACTCCCAACAAATCTAACAGCCTTCATCTGGAATTATTCTAAATGAAGAAAATAAAGGCACAGAGAAATCCTGACATTTAGATAGCAAGTTCATTTGTGTACGTGGATTAAAGATGTTACAACTGTTGATCACCTGATAAGAATATTTATAAAGCCTTTTAATTTTAAAAATAAGGTGTCTTGTAAAATGTTCCCGTGATTTGGAATCAATAAATAAAGGTGCCTGTAACAACTTATTGACATTACTAAATTATTTCAATATGATGGCTTATTCAAAAAAGCGGTTTTAATATTCCCCTCCATTAATGAGTAGCTAATGAATCTTACTTTCTTGTGAATATATTTAAAGAGGAATCAAACTGACTTCATCTACAGGATTCCACTAACAAGACTGAGCTGGCTCTGAACTTTTCAAATATCAGCAGTTTTCCCAACATTAGTACAGAAAATCATGCCACCAATTTTGGGCTGTGGGCTGAATGAAAAAACAGTACTAAATGACTAAAGGTCCACAGTTCTTTTCTGTTAAAGTTGATTTGTCACAATATTGTTAATTAGTGAGGGCTTAGGGAAGGCTTACTATGAATATAATTACAGTGCCGAAAAGCATTAATAATGCTCTTATCCCGAGCCAACATGATGCTATTTACATATTTTACCCTGGCATATACCAGAAATGGTTCCCAGTGCATAACGCGCTGCAAGATCATCAAGAGAAACACACGAAATCTCACAGGGGAAGGACGTTTCTGAGTATCTCAGTGCTTTTCAAGGCAGCAGGGACACTAATTCGACCTGTAATTACAACCATCACCATAAGCATTGCCTGTGGTGGTGAGCCACCTTTCATCATGAGCTGCTGTTCCATTGGGAGGCAAATGAATTGCTACTCCTGGTACATAATCTGATGCAATCTCATCCTTCTCTCATAAATTAGGACATAAGTGACAATTGCATTTGTCTGCTGTATTGGGCAGACTTCACCTTCAGAGCCCTGTGCAGACATCAATCAATTCTCAATGAATAAACTGTATGATAAATGCCAATTAACCCGTGTTATCATTATCACCTATTTCTACACACCAGACCCGAATTCCTGCCCTTGCTACACTCCCCCCAAGGAGTCCATGCACCTCTTCAGGGGCTGCATACCTTTTTTTGACTGTCACTAAGGGATTTGCCAAAGACCACACACCAGGTTGTTAGCAAGGGAGAGTGAGAACCCAACTGTTTCCAAATCTTCACCTCTCAGCACAGTAAATTTTCCAATGTCCTTTTCACAGAGAACAAACAGTTCTAGCAGAGTTTTAAAAATCGACACCTAATTTAATTATGATTCAAAGTCAATTATCTACAGGATGAGAAAACCTCCTAAGTAAAACCTCACTGAATTTCAGGCTACTTGGTACAAGACATAAGACAGAGTCAAGAAATATTTTTTCACTTTAGGTACAATGTGTCAGAAGGAATATTAAGAAGCAAAATTATCACTTAGTTTTACTGAATCAAGGATTACCCACAAACAGATGTATCTGCCATTAAGACTGCTGTATGGGTTTTGCCTGGCCGATCCTACTTTCCTAAACAAAGCCAGCAGACATAAGAGGCTGGAGGTCAGTCCTGCTGTATGAGGCTATTTGCTCAAAGGTGGAAAGACTTGGGAGAAGGTGAGGAGCTCATGATGCTCCTAGTGGAAGGAGGAACTTAGCACATTCATATATGGAAAACAAGCCCTGATTTAGAAAACTTGCATTTCCAAAGTAGCAAACAAGCGTCCTCATCAAAGCTGCCAGGGAGTAAGAGGGACGATCTTTATATGGAAAAATAAGTAGTTCAAAGTTACATTAAAACAATGGGTATGAATAAATATATCATTTTCACAGTGAAGGAAACTTACCTTACCGTCTTACAGGGACCTTTGCCCCAGAGCCCATGCTGTTCAGCTTAACCAAGAAATCACCTTGAAAAACGGGTTAATTTGGAGATGGTGGTATTTCATATCAACATATTCAGCATGGAGATGGCGATGCTACTATGTTACTCTGAGCAGTAAAGATGAGCTGTGAGAGGAGATGGAATAGAAGCTCATGGTCACCAGGGAATGCACAGTAGAACCACAGCTGGCATTCAGTACCCATAAATGCAAAGTTATGCATTCAGAAAACAGTTCTGACTTCATACACCCTATGATGAACTCTGAGCTGAATATTATAATGGAGGAATAAGATGTAGAGTTGTTGTTATTATAACAGTAATTGTAATTCAAAATACATCAGCTGTCACAAAGCAACTCCAATGCTAAAAATTATTACAAAGAGCATAGAGAATAAAACAGACAATTATGAAAACTGATAAAGTCACAATTTGTCCGTATCCTGAACATCAGGCACATATCTGGTTCTATCTCAGTAAAAACACTGCAGAACTGGAAAAAAACTAGATTAGCATGACAAGGCCAATTTAAAACATGACACAGCTTCTTTAAAAGAGACTAGGGGTTCTCTCTGGAAAAGAGATGGTGGGGGAAGGATGCCAAATACATAAAATCACAAGGGACATGGAAAAAATATGATCAGGGAATGTTTGTTCACTGTTTCTCTAATACAAAAGCTAGCTGAGAGCAAATGAATAGAGCTGGTTCATAACAAACAAAAGGAAATATTTCTTTACTCAATGCATCATTAACTGCATAAGTTCTCGTGACAGGAACAAGTAGATACTAATACTTCAAATGGATTCAAAAACAGGTCATGAAAAAATGCTGCTAGATATCACCTCTGGCTCAGAAAGCCCCTAAATAACTGGGAGGGCATTTGGGAGAAAGGTCACCAGTGCTGGCCTGACTTTACACCCTTTCCTAGGCATCTTCTACTGGTTATTGCTGAAGACGGTCTGGGCTAGTTGGACCTTTGGTCTAGCACAGTACAGTAGCCCCTACATTTTTATCTTTATTATTTCCTCACCGATTTCTTAAAGAAGAAATGCTTTAACAGCACTGACAGCTCAGGAGCTCTCATCTTTCATTTAGTGCACTAAAGCTCAGTGAGAACAGTAGGAAAAAGAGCAGCTGAGTTGCCCAAGTGCTGGACAGCAGCCCATAGGAGATGGTGAAGGGGCTGGAAGCTGAGGGTGACAGTCCTCTGCTCTGGAAGCATTAAGCTTTCTTCCCACTGAATAAGTGTGGGAGAGAGACTCTAGACTCACTGGCTATTTTAGGATTGACCCAAAGTCAAAAAGGAACACTTCAGGAGATTCTAGAAGCGACTTGGGTAAATTTGGCTTGGAAGAATGCTACTCATCTTCCTGTAAGGGGTTAGATTTGGTCAATTGAAACGAGGAGGAGCTTAGGCCTGCAGATGAGGGAGGTTTAACATGGAAGTTCTTGAAAGGAAAAACAGGCACTGAAATGTCTCCCCCTTCCCAAAATTAAAATTTCATTTTCTTCAGCTAAACTGCTCTATCATGACATCTGTACAAACAAACATTGAGAGAGAAGACAGCATAACAACATTAAACACAGAGCTGAGTAGGCAAGTGGAAGCCTTAGGAGCTACATCCATGCTGCCTGAGCTAGCTGGTCCTGGGAGTAACTTAAAGCCCACCATGCTCCTGAGATTCATTAGTGAATTTGGACTGCTTAGAGATTACAGCTGCCTTCTTGAGCACATTTCTGTGAGCACTGAGCTGACCTTTCTGCTCACCTTCGGCCATGTGACAGAGACATACTGAATACAGGAGACATTTGGGTCACAAATATAACTCTAGGTTCAAGTCTCCTGTATCTGTAAGGTCTGTAATGTCTGTGTACCCCAAAGTTTCCTCCTCACTGCTCAATTTCTCCCATCCCTATAGGAATCTACCCTTCAGCCACTGAGTTCTGTCCCAAGGCACTTCAGGAGTACACAAAGCAGACAGTTGGCAGTCTGGCCTCAGACCCAACCTGGATGGTATGCCTGCACTGCAGAGCAATCAGAGGTCTAGAAGAAGCAGGCAAAAAGTCTTGTAGGAAAGGGGTGAGGGAACCACCTTACAGTGAAAAGTATAATTTTGTCTTTATGAGGTGGTTTCTGAATATTTGGGAGATTTTCCCTCATAGGAAAGGACAGAGGAGTGACTAAAAACAATATAGGAAACCTTCCCCACTGTCCGAAATACTGTACAATGTCACAAGAATTTCACGTTCCAATTTATGGAGCTGTTCCTCCAGTGAAACCTAACTGTACTTTTTAATGTATGCTGAAAATGCCATGTACTGGCAGCAGCATTCAAACATTGTAAAAAGCTATACATGCACTCTTTTAGATGAAGTCACAGTCACTAGCTGTAATTCAATGGGCTATAAGCAAGGAAGAAAAAATCTCCAATATACTAACCAGAGATATTTCTTGAACGGGAACATATGTTATCAATTAATATATTTAACATACAAATACTGGACTGTTTGCAGTCCCACAAATAACATAAGGGATTTAAACTTTGAAACTGCTTTGCAGGATTTTGCACCTGAAGCCTACAGTATTTGAAAACACGATCAAGCTGTGCCTTGCAGAGACTATAGTCTAGTAACACTGAGAGGACAGACTGTTAAAATAAGCATCTACATAATTTTTCACAGTACACACTGCACAATGCATCTGCTTAAAAACAAATATATGTTTGCAGTGAAACATTTCAACAAATCACAGAACTCAGCAGCAAAGTAGTTAAACATTTATGATTTGATTTTATCTCAGCTTGGAATGTCGCTGGAGTGTCCCACTTCTAACAACTGTTTGCTAAGTTAAGGCTTTAGTGTTTACACAGTGCTGAATGAAGCAGCCTGGTCACCAGATGTGAATGCTTCCTTAGACTAGAGCTTTCAATCAGATCACGGTCCTAATGGTCCCTGCTCCAACCTTCTTCCTCAGGACGTTCACCAGCCTTTCCAACCTGAGAGGGGGCAGGGGAGAGGGAGAGGAGAGAAAAAAAAAAAAAGGAAGCTAACGTTAGGAATGTTCTGGCTGAAAGAGACAGTGTTTGCACTGAACCAAGCTGTCCTGGTGGTGGTCACGCTCAGAAACAAAGCACTACTGTAAAAGACAGACATTAAGGGAAAATGCAGACAACTTACGGAAAACTTTTTAACCTAAAACCCAACCCAGTTGCAGTCAGTGATATATATCAACTCAGTTTTCTTTTGTAGTCTATGTAGTATCGGAGGTCCCCGTAAGGCATTAACACAAAATCCTGTGCAGCAATCCTGTGGCACATATGCGCATCGGTGTGAGCAGGACATTAAATTCTTGCACTTTTTAAAATACGAGTGGTCCATGGCTCATGTTAAATGTAACACTTATTTGTTTTTTCCCCTTAAAAAATACCCTGTCCGTTATCCAACAGATACTTTTATTGTCCACTTTATAAATTTATGCCTAAAACCCCATGTGTCTTATGTCAAAATCTTTTTCAAAATACTCAACAAGACAAGTTTCTGAGGATGTGGATGATGATATTTTGAAGGTGGCCCATACGATTACTATTTCCACGGAACAACACTGAAATTAACAGTCCAATTAAGTAGGACAGAGAGCCACCTAATCCTCTCTTAGTTTTAAGGCACAGGCTATAAGCATGTCCAGCATCGCACTGGCTTAATTTCTTCTTTCCTGTTGTTAAAGTATGTAAGCCAAATGCAAAGGGCTAAATTTTTTCATCATTTTCCATTTGCACACATTTGTCTTCAGTACTCCAGTAATCATGCGTTCAAGCTATTTCTTCAAGTTATCTGTATTTCATGGAATCCTTCAATGAAAGCTCTCCCACAAATAAACTAACTATATAAAGGCAGACATGTGTGTCATAGAACCCTTTTAGAGCCACGTTCAGCATATTATACACACAACTTCCACAATGGATAAAAAGATTTGCAGGTTCAAATAGCCGTATTCAGTTGCAAAGTTGACCATTTTTTCTTATCTGAAAAGACAGTTGTGGTTTTTTTTTTTTTTTAAATATGTTATACAACATGAGGAATGTAGATAGGAAATAAAAATAATACAGCTTTATCAAAACTGTAACATTCATTTTATCTCATGGATGCATTAGTAACTTCAGTGCAGGAAAACCAGTTAACACGTCTTGAATTTATTGCCACAAGTCATGACTAACGCACATGGTACGTATCGAAACGCTCTTGTTTTCCAGGAACCACCAAGCACCATGAAGCTACACCTTTCATTGTACTCACCAGGTGACTTAATACCTGAAACAAGATTAAGAATTCACCACCCTAATGTAATTATCAGACACCAGGAAATGTATGTGGAAAGTTCACAAGGTTCTAGGTGTTCCTCAGGGACTCTAAAGGAATGAAAGCACAGGTGAAAAATCACTGCTTAGCTACTCCTCTTCCTTCAGTTTTCCAAGCATCACTTTTCATTTTTAACCAACTAGAGCATTTTTCCTGGTTTTGTAACATACATCTAGTTCTTCGCCTTTATGGAGGCAGCACCCAGACAGTCATAACTTGGTGCAGTCAGTCCGTGCAAGTACACAGTCAGGATTTTCACAAGTTTCCAAGGCACTGGAACAGGTTGCCCAGAGATGTTGTGGATGCCCCATCCCTGGATGGCTTCAAGGCCAGGCTGGATGTGGCTTTGAGCAACCTGGTCTAGTGGAAGATGTCCCTGCCCATGGCAGGGGGGTTGGAACTAGATGATCTTTAAGGTCCCTTCCAACCCAAACCATTCTGCGATTCTATGATTCTATAAGTTATTTGCTCCTGAAAGTTTTCTCACAGTGGATAAATCAATGTTTTCTGGGTTCTAAGGGTTTTAACCCAGTTACTGACAGGTCATAGTTTCCTCAGCCTCTCTTAGTGAGAAGTTTCCCTGTCAAATCAGTTGATAGTCCGTGTGCAATTTCAGAAAGCGATGGCAGATCAGTCCTCACTTTTGACAGCACGTACGTTCAGAAGCAATGCAGCTTTCTCAGGCACTTCAACTATCACTGGAGGTCTCTCTCTCTCTCACTCTAGAACCCCCTCTAATGTGCTTCAGAGACAGAAAGCACAGGAGAAACATTTCAAACTGGCTGGACAAACAGAAGGTTTGGGCTGCGAATTGTTTTCAGGGGGAGACAGGAAAAAAATAGTAAAATCTGAGATCACGGCTTATTTAAATCACTGCTCAGTTAAAACGGAACACTGTGTGGCTTATACAAGTAGGGGAAAGTGACTTTCAATAACTGAGGTATCTTCTGGGGAGACATAGGTTGGAGGTCACAGCTTACACGCTGTCCTGCAATCGGGTTTAGATGTGCACCACTCTGTGACCAAGCAATGACACTGCACACCATAGCAGAACAAGCTAGCGAAGAGCTGCCCATGTTTGAAGAGAAATACCTCTGGGATGAAAGTAGCTGTCTTCTGTTTAACCTTGAAACTGTCAGGCTTCATTGAAAATAATGAGGCTTAACAATCATAGCTTCTGCTTTTCAAATGAATGATGACTGAAACCATCAAAATGAGCTATCCCGCACCAAATACAAACCGTGCAGGGCTTATTTGCCTTTTGTTTCAGTCATGTGTGGATTTGCAAATTTATTTATTCTTTATTAGTAGAAAGAAAAAAAAAAAAGGCAGCAGGGGATTAAGAAACCATACCTTTGAAAGAGATTTAAACGATAATGTAAAAGAGAAACTGTAACAGCTATTTATAAGATAAAATAACAGAGGGCAAAATTCACCCCTACACAGACACAAGACCCAATATACCACTGAAATCCCACTTAAGCCTACAAAATAATGCTATGGGCTGAATCAGTGGTTAATAACTCTTGATACAGGCCTCAGAGGGCTTTTCGGAACGATAATCCTGGACTCTTTGTTCACCAAGGGCCCAACTCTGCCAGCCCGACTCACACTAAGGAACATTTTTCTTTGTGCGTAATAAAAGGAAGCTAACAAGGCCGTTTGTGTCAGTGAGGCACTACCTGCGAAGGGGTGAGGGTGGCAGAACAGCCCCTTGTCAATAAGGCTCTGCACCCAGCCCAGTGGGATGTTGCGGGCAGCTCCTTTTGGAGGCTGAGCATTTTAATCTGCGGTAAACTGAAGGGACAGATTTACACCTCAAGATCAAAGATAACTTAAATATCTAAACAGATGAGTGGGAATTGCCGGAAACTGCCCTAAAAGTCTCAATATTCACAGAGTTTTATTAAAAATATGGAAGACTGACCTGAAGGATGCAACTTTTATTACTTTGTGCAATCATGATATATCTGCCAGTATAATCTCACCATATTTTACTTAACTGAAACCAGTATCGGCTATGTTTGACTGTGTCCTAAGACACAGATTTAACAAATGACATTTGTCTTTTTTCTTGTGAAGGAAACAATCCTCATCGTATAAATTAAATATGTGATATGATACTATCTTCTCCTGAGATGTAAGCACGGACATTAACTGAATTTACATCTCATGAAGCAACCAAACAAGTCATTCAAGAAGAAAGTATTTGGGTTTGCATTTTCAGTCAGCCAGAAGAATGATACGGTGGACAACTGTTGCAGTACTGCAGGTCCAAATGTGCAAGGACAGGCAGACACCTTTAGGAATGTTCAACAGAGCCTGTTAAGGTCTCACTCCTCATTCTCACAGATCTCAGTTTCTTGCTTAGAGATTCTGCAAAATCCTAGTTGTGACCTTCACTATTTCTTGGTACTTAAATAATTCTAGAAAATCTGTCCCTTAACAAACAAATTCTCTTAGCAAATGCCACTTCAGCATTCTCTACACCATTACTTCATGCATGCATGCAAAATGAGTACAAAGTGACATAAAGTACAGGAAGAAACTATGTATTCAGAAGGATAGGTACAGCTTTGGTTTTCTTTACATATCCAAAATCAAAAAGTCCTGTTTTTCAGGATAGATGAAATTTGCATCCACAAAAAGCACAAAGATGACAGCTAGAAATATTTTTTATCTACACTACCTAATCTTGTAATGTTCATCTCAGTGCTTCCATGAAATGGAAAAATAAAAAAAACCCACAAACTGGGAAAGGGACATCTGGCCCACCATTACTTTTAAGTTATCAAAGACGCATCATTGTGAAGAGTCTTGAATTGCAGAGGCTTAATGTTTCCTCAATACAAATTTGGAATTAAGCAGGTAAATCTGTATTTTAATACAGAAATAAAAAGATTTCCTTGAGGGGCTTGCTGCTATATTACCAGTTCAAACATGTTCTTTTAAAAATATTGCTAAGCTTTAAGAAAGTCCTCATCTTCAGAGAAAGGCTATCTAAACAAGAGCGTTGCTAGGTGTGTCCTCCTCAAGACAAATTCCCAAGCACTCTCAGCTCTTCTTCCAGTTATTTCAAATGGTCTTCTCTTACCACCTATGCATCTGACAAAATGTCTGCATGGAGTGCATGTTGTTTTATGGAGTGTTCTTATGTAGCTCCTGAACTGTTTGACAATCTGCTTTGATTTTTGGCAAAACCTTACAGAGCTTTACTCCTTTGAGTATAAATCATTTTGGGTTTAGAATCAGCCTCCATAAAGAAGGCTTAAAATCCTTACTGACAGAGAAGTTTGGTTCAGGACCCCAGAAGCTGAACGTGTAGTTGCAAAAATGTTACCTACTGATCTCTACTGCTGATTCTTATGCACATTTTTGGCTTGCTCTCCTTTTTCACACATTTTGCTGAAGAAGTCTAGCTCTAAACTGTAGCTTGGAATCAGTAAAAACTCTGCAACCGCATAAACCCACACAGATCAGTACATCCTCCCACACTGCTCCATCTCTGGCCAACAGAACTCGCCCCAAGGTAGAGCGGTGCCCTTTATCCACCAGTTCTAGGGTAATCTTCCAGGGCATCATGCCCCAGAAATAGCCAAAATGGATACCCAACTGAAAGAAAAGGGCATCCTTCAAGTAG